GACCTTCGCCGGCCGGTCCTCCCGCCGCCTCGCCCGGTCGCGCCGCGCCACCGAAGCTCCGGCGCCGAACTGCGCCGCGCCGGCAACTCCTCCTCACCAGCTCCTCCAGCGAGCTTCGGCCACCCCCACGACGAACTCTGGTGACCACGAGCTTTCCGGTGAACATCGGGTTCCGCGCGTGAACAGTGCCGCCGGATCCAGATCTGAAAATTAGGGTTGACTCCATTTTCCCCTAAGTCTGCAGATTATATTGCCATATTCATCGTACCGTAACTTTGCATCCGTAAATCCGTTTTGGGCATATAGCATATCAAAATGTTCGTCTCAGAGAGCACATCATTTCATCTCATTGCATCATTTTCATTTGAGTTCATCTTGACGCCCGAAATGCTGTTGGAAGAGTGCTATTTGAGTTAATTGTCAGATCTGCTGCTCCAAATAGCTATTTGTCATTTTTGCCATGTTTAATGTGTGCATGGTAAACCCCTGAGCTCTACATATGTTTTGTTATATGCTTTGTCATCTTTCCAGAAGTGCCATCCATGTATTTTTGTGATATGTGTGGTGACTAGCACAAGCTTGCAAAGTGATGCATTCGTTAATGCTGATTTTAGGGACTTAGCAATTCCACTAAGTCCTTGGTCTGTTTTAATCAATATGCCATATGTTCATGTTGTTTCCTATTGATCCGTGCCTCTTTTGAGGATGACCAGTAAGGGTGATTTGTTAATCTTGTAGTGCTCTATCCATCCATGTCTTTGTTTGCAATTATGGAGCACCCTAGCTTGAGTCAATCGAGCTCTACTTTTGCTATTTCGTGAATCTGAGCAGATTGTCTACTTGTTAGCAATTTTGCCGATGATGTTGTAGTTGATCCATGCATGCTATGTCGTTGTTTTTGCCATGTCTAGCTCGTATAATGTGTATTATTGATGGGTGTATGCTTAGATTGTCATGCCTTGCTCTGTAGTGAGTGCATCGAGCTCGTAAACATGCCTACTTGATATCTGATTTGCATGCTCCAGTTTTTCTCTAAGTCTGTGATCTGTTTATGTTTTTGCCATGTTCACATGCTTGCAATTGTATTTTCTGATCCCTTTTGGATCAAGGTCACTAAGGGACTTTTGTTAAGCTCTTTGAGTAGCTCCATGCCATGCTTTACTTTGCCATGTTAAGTTCCTGTAGAATATAGTTTTCATGCTCCAAAGTGTGCTATCTGATCTGAAATTCCAGACAAGTGTTAATTTCATTAAGTTTGAAATCTGTTTACCAATTACACTTTTGCCATGCTTGTTTTAACCTGTTAATGGATGAATTGGCCATAGCTCAGTGTTCATATTTTGTTAAGCTTCATGAATGGATCCCTGCCATGTATTTTTTTGCCATGTTTGGGTGCTGTAGCATATTTATCTTGTTGCATTTAGATGACTACTTGCTGTTTATCGCAGACCGGTGCCATATTTGTTTTGCTTGCCATTTCCAAACCGTGTCTCTGATTCCGGCGTTCTTTATATTGTTTTCAAGCGAAATCATCTCACCTTCCCAGTGGCACACTTGGATTTTCAATTGAGGCCAGGTTCAATCATTCCTTGTCAAATCTTGCATATGCATCACATATCGCATCCCACATAGCATACCATGTTTGCATCTTGTTGCTTGAGTTGTGCACGTGGTTGATTGCGTTCCTTTTACTTGTTTGTCTTATTTGGATAGAGCCGGGAGACGAGTTCACTAACGAGGAGCCCGTTGAGTTTGCTTTCGAGGATTCAGTCAACTCTAACAACTTTGCAGGCAAGATGATCATACCCTCGAAATCACTTCTATCTTTCCTTTGCTAGATGCTCGCTCTTTTGCTATGCCTTTGCTACGATGCCTACCACTTGCTTATCATGCCTCCCAAATTGCCATGTCAAACCTCTAACCCACCATGTCCTAGCAAACCGTTGATTGGCTATGTTAACGCTTTGCTCAGCCCCTCTTATAGCGTTGCTAGTTGCAGGTGAAGATCGAAGACCGTTCCTTGTTGGAACATTATTTTCTTGTTGGGATATCATTATATTATCTTATTAGCTTAATGCATCTATATACTTGGTAAATGGTGGAAGGCTCGGCCTCTCGCCTAATGTTTTGTTCCACTCTTGTCGTCCTAGTTTTCGTCATATCGATGTTATGCTTTCGGATTTTGCGTTTCTTACGCGGTTGGGTGATAATGGGAACCCCTTGACAGTTCGCCTTGAATAAAGCTCCTCCAGCAATGCCCAACCTTGATTTTACCATTTGCCACCTAGCCTCTTTTTCCCTTGGGTTTCCGGAGCCCGAGGGTCATCTTATTTAAACCCCTCCCGGGCCAGTGCTCCTCTGAGTGTTGGTCCAACCTAGAGCCCCTTGCAGCCCCACCTCGGGGAAACTCGAGGGCTGGTTTTAGTTGTACGGATTGCTTATCCGAGTGTGCCCTGAGAACGAGATATGTGCAGCTCCTATCGGGATTTGTCGGCACATTCGGGCGGTGTTGCTGGATTTGTTTTAACTTGTCGAAGTGTCTTGTAGAACCGATACCGAGTCTGATCGAAATGTCTCGGGAGAAGGTATATCCTTCGTTAACCATGAGAGCTTGTCATGGGCTAAGTTGGGACTCCCCTGCAGGGATTTGAACTTTCGAAAGCCGTGCCCGCGGTTATGGGCAGATGAGAATTTGTTAATATCCGGTTGTAGATAACTTGAACCTTAACTTAATTAAAATGAATCAATTGAGTGTGTTACCGTGATGGTCTCTTCTCGGCGGAGTCCGGAAAGTGAACACGATGTTGGAGTAATGCTTGCCGCAGGTTGTTCTCTAGTTATTTGCTCGTGCTTTGCCTTTTCTTCTCGCTCTATTTTGCGAACAGATTAGCCACAATACATGCTAGTCGCTTGCTGCAGCTCCACATAATTACCTTGCCTTTACCTATAAGCTTAAATAGTCTTGATCGCTAGGGTGCGAGATTGCTGAGTCCCTGTGGCTCACAGATTACTTCCAAACCAGATGCAGGGCCTGATGACTCCGTTCCAGATGACGCGCTTGAGCTCAAGTGTGAGTTCGACGAGGACTCACGCCGTTACTACGTGTCTTTCCCTGATGATCAGTAGTGGAGCCCAGTTGGGACGATCGGGACCGTGTCGCATGTTGGGTTGATCTTTTATTTTGGCACCGTAGTCGGGCCATAATTATTATCTATATTACATGGGATGTTATGAAGATTGTCTTACTTGCGATATTACTTTCAATGCGGTTATGCCTCTAAGTCGTGCTTCGACACGTAGGAAATATAACCGTATCGAGGACGTTACAGATACGGTGGGATATCAAGAGGATATAGATCATTGAGTGAGATAATTGTACGGTGTAGAGCATGAGATCGTTGTGAACGCTCCTAGCTAGCTGGGTTATAATATTGTTTAGTAATTAGCCGACATAATAGTATTTGAAGTTTCTAATGTATTATTTTTGTGATAGAAAAGAAAATAAATAAGAAAAAGAGAGAGTAAACCGTGAGATTTGGTCTCATATAATTTTTTTAAAGAAAATTATATAAGACCAGGTCTCACGAGTTAGCAGATGAGATCCATTCTAATGAATAACACGTGATATTCATAAATTATAAAATATTTACTCACCCCATATGGCATTCACAAATCATAAAACTCATATAATTCTTTTGAAGAGTATCGACTCGCCTAAATCAGGGGAGGAAAACCTCACACTTCCTTCCGTCTACCCGAGTCGCCCGAAAAGCCCAGCACTTTCTTCCCTTCCGATTTCGCACGATGGCGACTCTCCTCCGCCGATCCGCCGCCCCCGCGCGGCATCTTCTCCTCCTTCCCCGCCAGCTCGGCGCCGCCCGGTCCATGTCCCGCTACTACGCCCGTGACGAGGTTTCACGGTAACGCTTAAATCCCTAGCACTTCCTTCCGCGTTCCGGAACCTTCTAGCGGTCTGACGTTTCGCCGTGTGGTGGTATCAGGTTCGACGCGCTGAGCACGCCGGTGAACTGGGGCGTGAGCATCGTGCCGGAGAAGAAGGCCTTCGTGATTGAGCGCTTCGGCAAGTATCTCAAGACGCTCGACTCCGGGATCCACGGGCTCGTCCCCCTCGTCGACCGCATCGCCTACGTGCACTCTCTCAAGGAGGAAGCCATCCCCATCCCCGACCAGTCCGCTATCACCAAGGATAACGTGGTCATCCAGATCGACGGCGTCCTCTACGTCAAGGTATACCTCGTTCTCGCCTTGCCTTTTGGTCCTCACTAGCGAGGCTGCATTTCTGCTGTTACTTCTAGGGATCTGGTGCTTTTCCGGTCGTTCAGGGGAGATGGTGGATGAATGCGGCGTGTTTCGGTAGAAGTTTCGTGTTATATGTTGTCATGAGCCACCATCACATTGAATTAGGACAGGTCATCTGGTCTTAGAAATGCGCCTCAATGATGGATTTTTACAGCCTCAAGTTCATGCTGTATTGCTGCTGTTGGTGGTGGTTTGATACTCCAATCCGGAAGTTCTGTCACAATGGAAATTACTCTGGAGAACCAAGCTGGAAGTGTGAAGACGGGTAGATAATACTTGATTTGGAGTTTAGGACAATTCATCTGGTTGTTAAAACAGATTTCGTGTGTGATGCTTATATTTGTAAATTACTCCTCTTGTGGCCACTTCCTGAGCAAACTCAAGATTTCTGTTCACCTTAGTTATCCACCTAACATTCACAGAGTCAGCTTGCCTTGTATTAGGACAGAAAAGATATCCCATAGTTGGTATTCTTTTTCCGGTATTTATCAGCATGGGATATTGGGGTTTATTGTGGTACTGCGTGTCCAGTTTATGCAGGTTGCTCTACTTCTGTGGGGATATTGGTTGTGGCACTAGTTGTCCAGTTGGTGCAGGTTGATCTACTTCTGTAGGACTTGAGGATGGGTATAGCATGCTCCTCCTGATTGCATTGAGCTGTAGATGCCATGGCCTATGTTTAACGTGATCAATGCATGGGCTCACTTTCAATGACTGTAGCATTAGCAAAGTTAAGATGATGCATGGCCTCATCATGTAATTCCCTGTCAGTTACATGATATCAACCAATGTTGTTCCATACTGCTTCTAGTTTCGACTCGTATGTTGGCACTTGTATCATTCTTCCATACCTTGTCTGCTGTCTATGTTAATCTGGCTTATGTGCATCTGGTAGGTGATGAGGGTCCATAATGAACAAGGCTCTGGACTTGTGGTGCACAAAAGTGTTAGGGTCTGACCTAGGGCCACAGCAGTAACAATTGACTGTAAAAGCAAGTGTGTGGATATGCTGCTGTTCAAATTTCATTGGCAGAGGGTGCATACATTTGTAATAATAATTGACTTAGGTGCTCTCTTGGTAATTTGTAGGTCCATTCTTGAGCATTTCACATGGTTTGGGGTATATCCTGTTTAGATTGTTTGGGGATATAGATGGTAAAGCTCCACTGCAATGAGTTGCATTTGTACATGTACTGCTCATTTCCTTGTCATGTAATCTTCACAGGATTCATGGGAGCACACTTAGTTTTTTTTTGATTCAATGTTGTTGAAATGGTTCAGGTTGGATGGCAACTGTGATGAATGGTGTAATTGGTAGTTAGATTTGTATTTCGTGGGTATGTATATGTTTTGTTTGATCATAAAAGTTAGCAAGCTTGCTTTATCTGTGTTGAGGATATCTGACACTTTCAGATAACTCGTCACAGTTGATTAATTAGTTATGTCTGTTTATGCTCTTTCCACTGTACAGGTTCATATTGAGCATTCTTGTTATTTTTATTGGTCTAATTCATGTATCTGCAAGTTAACTAAAGAAAGAAACATTTCTCCATTCTCTTGTTAAGAACTTAAGATATATAGCAAGTATTTGTGTTTTGATTATTTACTTTGTGAAGTGTGTGGGGATTCGCATTTCTACTGTCAGCGTTCTGGAAATCAGAGACTGTTGCTGGCAATTGACAAGTCCTTAGTATTAATTCTTATCTTTCTGTTTTTGAACTTTGCAGATTGTTGATCCCTACCGTGCTTCATATGGCGTGGAGAATCCCATTTTTGCAGTCATTCAACTTGCGCAGACAACTATGAGAAGTGAGCTTGGAAAGATAACCTTGGACAAGACTTTTGAAGAGAGGGACACATTGAATGAGAAGATTGTGGTATGACATTTTGTTCGCATCTGAGCTATTTGTTTTTCTTTCTATATCAAGGCAACTGTTGCAGAGAACAGCACCTACAAGTTATTATAAGTAATAAAAGTAATGGGCAGTGTTCTTATGTTAACTGTAATACTATGGCCTGTACATCATCTATATACCAACAAATCCTTGTTCTCATCTCATCTATTCAGAATAGCTAGACTTTGTTAAGTGTGGTTGTTTACATTGCTCTGATGGTAAACTAAATGTTGGTTTATGTATTAAATATTTTTTGCAAGAACGAGGAATTAACTTACAAATATAAACATGGAATATAAAGAGCAGTTGCAAAAACAGTAGGGTCTTTACTTTATACAGTAACATTAAATGTGAAAGCCTGAAAGGTAAAATAACTTTATTGCATCTGAGTTTTCAGCAACAACATCCTAGTTTGATTTACCAGTTCTGTATATAAAGTTCTTCTCTGAAGAATAATTGTACAATTCCTTTGAAGATTGATTGCCTTTTTCTGTGGATCACTGTCACTAAATGTCTGTCATGAAGTAGTTGTATCTTAAAATCATGCCCCTTTTAACTAGCCAACTTAACCAAGAAGTAAACCTGGGAACAGTTTGGACACAAACCACAATTTCAAATCGGTTTTCCTATTGGTCTCTTTTGGTTTGGATTAAATGGGCTGAGCTCCTAATGTAAGCTGGTTTGGTTTGGGCTTTTCCTATTATCGGTTCGGTCTGGTTCGGTCTGGTCACAGAACAAACAGTCTCAAACCATTCTAACCCATGGTCGGAGAACTAAATCAGGGACCAGGTTAGGGTCCCGATCAAAGCAATCACCCTTGTTTTTGCCGGGAAAAGCAATCACCCATTGGCAACGTCTTGTCGTCTCCACTACTGGTGCCGATGATGATGCTCCTGCTCGCCATGTCACGTCCATGCTCTAGTAGAGACACAAACCAGCATCGACCAGGTTCTGGCGGCCTCGTCCCGCACGCCTCCGCCTGCTACGCCATGGCCACCGCCGGCTGCTCCTCCTTGGCGACATGGAGCCTTGCGCAGTGCCGCGGCGACGTCCCGCGGTAGGACTGCATGCTCTGGTTGGCCGTGGCGGTGCGGACACGGGCTACATGCTCAGCCTTCTCAACACCCAGAACGCCACCGGCATGGGCTGATGTATCTGGTCGCGTTCAACCAAGCGCAATGAAGCTCATGTCCAACGACTCCGGCGACGGTGCGAACAAGGGGCTGGCGATGGGCATGGCGCAGCTCGGTGGCGGCGGAGGCGGTGGCGAACTGCAGGCTGTGTGTGGCGCAGGCCGTGGCCGAACTGCTCAACTACTGCCAGACAGTGTGATATACAACAGTCACATGGCGCCCTACGAGGTGCCCCTTCTTCCCGCTCGACGGCGCCGGCGAGTTGGCCGATGAGGTCGGACAGTGCGAACAAGATCGTCTTATACCGTGATAGACGGAGTGCAGCTAGTCATATATAGTATCTAGCATTATAGCTTGTTCTATGTACGTACGTTGTGGTGGTGAGTAACATGCAGCAGCAGCTAATCACCCTTCCAACGCCTCTCTTCCCATAGTAATTGGACACGCCCTTGGTTTGAAACTTCAGATTGAAATTGTATGTGGGGACTGGGTTGGATGGGTTTGGCTTGAAAATACGTACAGTTTGGATTGGTTTGGATTATAGCATTTGCAGTTTGGTCTGGTCTGGTCTGATTGTTCGACTTATACTTGTATGGATTGGGCTGGGTTTAATCTGGATTACAAACTATTCCCAGGTTTACCAAGAAGCAACTTAATATTACAAAGTCATGTGCTCTTTTTCTTCTAATGTATTGGGCTTCACTATTTCCATCTCCTTATCATACTTCAGCACAGTTATACATTGTACCTTCTGAAATTCTTTTTTGACAGAGGTCCATAAATGAGGCTTCGACAGACTGGGGCTTGAAGTGTCTTCGTTATGAGATCAGTATGTTTTTCTGTTTTTGACATATTACAGTTATATCTGTTTAATTTCTGGTGTTTCTAAACCGATCCTGCATATTACTTTCCTCTGAGATCAGTACCTTTTCCTGTTTTTGACCTATTAGATTTATATATCTGTTAAATTTCTGATATTTCCAAACCGACTTTGCAGGGGACATTTCTCCTCCACCGGGCGTGAAGAATGCTATGGAGATGCAAGCAGAGGCAGAAAGGAGAAAGCGTGCTCAAATTCTCCAGTCAGAAGGTGAGTAGCACATGATCTTTTATCTTTGTTCAAATTGGTATTTTCTCTAATAATTCATCTGAAAAGGGGATGCCTATGAGATGGAATCCACCTTTATTGTAGCTTAACCACATTAATTCATCCCAAGTGCTTTACTGTTAGTGATGTCTATGTTAACCTATTTTAGTAGCAGTGATGGATTGTGATATTTTAAGTTGTGTTGCTTGAAAATAACAATAAAAGTTGGGACGCGGCAATATGGTTCATACCGGCATATAGTCCCATTATCCTGACCGAACGAGTTGCTCGATGGATCGCTGCCGCCTTCATTAAATGAGACTTGTGCGAGCGGCAGATATTCGTTTATTGACTGTGCGCGCTGTAGTCGTATAGGTACGAGTTCTTCGTGACGTAGAGAGTGCTCCGTACATTTCGTAGCGCACGTGGGGCAGGACCCACAACTTAGACATGAGGCTGGCAGGTGGACCGGAGTACAGTGGTTGACTTGTAGCTGTATGATGGTACATATTTTTTTTTTGGACGCACTGCATACAGAACTCCACCTTTCCAAGGAAGACTATAGGTGCCGCAGAGGGGGAGAGGGTGGAAGCGCTCGCCGCACCTACAACAATGGATGGCGCCGCTGCGGTGATTTTCATGTGGATCTGGTGCCAGTAAGCGTATAGCTATATGATCTTGCTGAATTTGCCGCCCCCACTTGTGTGAGCTGATCTGCACGATTCGCCGTTGCAGTCTGCCAATCTTCCCCAATGGAGTGCAGCAGTCGGGGTCGGATCTGAATGCAAGAAGCGAAGTGGGTAGCAGGCTTGTGGGAGGCGTTCCGGAGTCGTCCGTCGCGGCGGATTTGCAAGGCGGCGAGTTGGAAGCGAATGATGCTAACAGCAGAAACAGGGTGCCCTCCGAGTCCGGTGAATCTGCAATCAAGCCGGATCCCCAGGCGCCGGGGTGGATTAAGAGCTAAACAACTACCAGAATGTAACAAATTCGCAGTTCGTAATTCTGACTTGGGGGACAGCAAGTGCTAGTGTGGAATCCCTGACTGTTTTAGGAGCAGATAGAACAGGTTGGAAATTGGTATGGCGCAGTGCGTATTATGTATGCCACTGAGCATGATGGGGGGTCGCAAATGAATTGTTCATTCATATTTGCAAGTAGATTGAATACGTGAGGCGATGTGTGTTAACGTAGGAAAGATTATTTCGGAAGTTGCTGACATATTGCTGAACTGACACCAAGGCATTTTAAAGACAGTCAGTGGCCTTTTTTTTTGGGATCAAACAATCAGTTTCTTGGCTTAGTATGTATTAAGTGGTCAATGATGCACCGTGGCGTGTATACATGTCATACTTGGATTTGCTAGGAATAAGCATATTAGCATGTCGTTGGTACTTGTCATTGAGATGTGGTCGTTCGCTAAATAAGCTTCCTTTTGTTTACCACAGGGTTAGACTTGGTAGTAACCCACTTGAAAGAGCACCATAACCTAGCAGGATGAGGGTTCTAGAAAAAAAAACATCAAAGGCTTTGCAGACAGCCCTGGAAATGAAGTGCGTAAACCAGAGTTGAGTGCCACCTTAGACTCACTCACAGAGGCGTGTGACTTTTATAACCTATATTTCTGGGAACATGGGTTTGGTATCTGGTGTGAGAAGAGTTTAGTCCCAAACAAGTTGGGGTAGGCTAGAGCTGAAACCCATTAGATCTTGAAACCAACTCATGGTTATTGCACGTCAATACTCTGTACTCTACACGCACCCCTGTCCATGGCTAGTTCTTTGGCGATATTCCAGTCCTTCAGATCTCTCCTTGCGGATTCCTCCCTTGTCGAGTTTGGTCTACCCCGACCTCTCTTGACATTATTAGCACACTTTAACCATTCGCTATGCACTGGAGCTTCTGGAGGTCTGTGTACCATCTCAGACGATGTAGGACAAGCTTCTCTTTAATCGGTGCTACCCTAACTCTATCATGTATATCATCATTCCGGACCCGATCCTTTCTTGTGTGGCCACACATCCATCTCAACATGCGCATTTCCGCTACACTCAACTGTTGAACATGTCGCCTTTTAGTCGGCCAACACTCAATGCAATACAACATTGCGGGTCGAATCGTCGTCCTATAGAACCTGCCTTTTAGCTTTTGTGGCACTCTCTTGTCACAGAGAACGCCAGAAGCTAGGCGCCACTTCATCCATCCGCTTTGATTCGATGGCTCACATCTTCATCGATGTTACCATCCTTTTGCAACATTGACCCAAATATCGAAAGGTGTCCTTATGAGGTACCACCTGCCCATCAAGGCTAACCTCCTTGTGCCTAGTAGTACTAAGGGGTTGTTTGGTTTGTGACTAACTTTGCCAAAGATTGCCACACCTATGGTTAGGCAAGTTTGGCCAACTTAGGTGAGTGTTTGGTTCAAGCCACACCTTAGGCAAGCCACACTTGGGTCCCACATGGCATACATACAAAAAGTGTGGCAAGATTCCCTTAGGCTTGCCAACTTGTGGCTCTCATTTTGATGAACTAACCTTAGGCAAGCTTGGCAAAAATGTGTGGCAAAGTGTGGCAATACTAGGCCTAGAACCAAACAGCCCCTAAAACCACACCTCTTGTACTCAGTTTTAGTTCTACTAAATGAAACCTTTTGATTCCAAAGTTTGTCTCCAAAGCTCTAACGTTCTATTAACCCCAGTCCAACTATCATTGACTAGCACCACATCATCCGCAAAGAGCATACACCATGGGATATCTCCTTGTGATATCCATCATCAAGGCAAAAAGATAAGGGCTCAAAGCTGACCCTTGGTGCAGTTTTAATCGGAAAGTTATCAGTGTAGCCATCACTTGTTCGAACGCTTGTCACAACATTATTGTACATGTCCTTGGTGAGTGTAATGTACTCCCTCTGTAGACTAATATAAACGGCCTTATATTAGTTTACAGAGGGAGTACTTTGTTGGGACTTTGTTTCTCCAAGGCCCACCACATGACATTTCCGGTATCTTATCATAGGCCTTCCCCAAGTCAATGAAACACCATATGCAGGTCCTTTTGCTTCTTGTATCTCCATAAGTTGTCGTACCAAGAAAATGGCTTCCATGGTCGACCTCTCAGGCATGGAATTAAACAGATTTTTAGTCACGCTTGTCATTCCTCTTAAGCGGTGCTCAATAACTCTCCCATAGCTTCATTTTATGGTCATCAGCTTAATTCCACGGTAAATAGTACAACTTTGAACAGCCCCCTTGTTCTTGAAGATTACTACTAATATACTCCGCCTCAATTCTCCTGGCATCTTGTTTGCCCGAAAAATGAGGTTGAAAAGCTTAGTTAGCGATACTATCGCTATGTCTCCGAGGCCTCTCCACATCTCAATGAGGATACAATCAGGATCTTGTTTGGGGGTACTTGGTAAGTCCCTATTTATGCATATTTGTGCCCATTTCTGAAAATAGGGGTGTAACTAATCAGGAGATTGGTTAAAGAAACAGGGGAAGCCATTGTGTGAGAACACAAGGTTCCGCCGGTGTGGATGCCCAGCGATGATTAGGCTGCTATGCATGGTGGACAATGGATGGTACATAACGGAGCACCGAGTGAAGCACAATCACATCCTGACACCAATATGCAGGGAGATGATGCATTGGCCATCTCACAAGCACATTGATGTGTACACAAGGGACCTAATTAGGAATTCGAGGAAGAATAATCAACATTAGTAAGGTGTACAACATTATTAGAGAGTTCTTCGGAGCAGTGGAGAAAGTGCCACTCACGAAACGGCCTCTATGGAATCTCTGTGGGCAAATAAGTAGATTCGAAGCTGATGATGATGTCAAGAAGACAATTTGAGGTTTTCGATGTGCTACTTCCTGTGTCAGGGTTTATTGGGCCCCTTACATTTTGATCATAAAATTTAACTAATAAAATATGAACTATATGTCACAATAATTATATGGTAGGAAAGCTCTTTCAAACAAATATCTAATAGTATAGTTTTTATAATATACATCTCATATTTTTAGTCAAAGTATGACCCAAAATTCAAACGGACCCAAAAAGGATCCTGAATTCTTGTTTCGGGTGCAGGCTGGTTGTAAGGGTAGAATAAAGAAACTGATGTGGACAATTGGCAGCAGCCAATGAATTGGGCCATTGGCTTCATTGGTATGACTCGTCAGCAGATCATATGGCCTCACACCCAGTCCAGCAAAGTATGCTGACGCCATGACCGTATAGGACCGATGATGGCCCCAACATTTATGAAGTAGGGACAGGTCATGCAAGCACCATGCAATAACAAAACTGCTGTGCGGACAATGCATGCCTGCACGACAGCGGCACGATAGGCAATCCAGCCGTGTACTGCACGTTGATGGTATGCATGGATGAACTGATATGCGCTGTTGTGCATAAATCGTCCGCACAGCGTTGTGTGCATAGCAGCGCTCATATAATAATAGTGTTAGAATCCTGAATAAGTTAGTTTATACAACCAACTGCTCTGATCCCAAGGAGGACCAGCGGCTCAGATAACATGCGCATATAGTAGTATGACCTATATGAAATTTTACTAAAAGCTGGGTCTTTATGTTTGACACTTACCATTTATTCTTAACAGGGGCTATGTTGGATCAGGCAAACCGCGCCAAGGGTATGTTCAATTCAAATCTTATCATTTCTATGCTGCAATGACAACGTGGTCTATTGATTTGTGTAGCATGCATCGGTTCTGTTTGTGCTATTTGTTCTGCCATCACCCTCCTTGCTTTCAAACTTGCCCATCTCCCCATTTGTTGTGCTAACCTCTTCAGATATGGTCCGCATGCACCTGATAAGTTTTGTCATAATTGTGCTCACATCATGCATCCTCTTTATTCTATTTATCATGTTCATCATCTTGCTCATTTGAAGATTGGGCTGCTAGTGTGGATTGTTTTGGTTAGGTTGAAACATTTTGTTTTGTATTTTTTTTCTGAAGGGGAATTTGTGTGCCATTTGGGCTCATTTATTTTTGGTAATAAACATCAGGTGAGGCTGAAGCGATTCTTTCCAAGTCACAAGCTACGGCCGAAGGGATTAGAATGGTCTCAGAGTCCATGAGAGCTGAAGGCAGTGCTGAGGTATCATGATTTGCCAACTCCCATTTTAATATTGCATTTAATTGACATTACTGTTGCTTATGGAGAAGTTATCTATCAAAACAGTAAGGTTTCGCTGCTCATGTTGTGCTGTTCATTCTCTCCTGTCAGGCTGCAAAACTGAGAATTGCTGAACAGTACATCACAGCATTTGCTGCTCTGGCCAAGAATGTGAGATATTTTAAGTTTCATTTCCCTGATTCATGAATCCTTATGGTGTTTGGCAAAGTACTGATGTTTCATTATGAAATGTAGACCACGACAATGCTTCTTCCAAGCGATGCTGGCAACCCATCATCTATGATAGCCCAGTCTCTCCAGATATACAAGCATATAAGCCAGTCCAGCAGCCTGAAAGGAGGGAACCAACAGGCAGAAGAAGTTGAGGAAGCAGGACCGCAAGAAGAGGGCGATACGTTCGGCCTGCCTTCTGTGACCAGCGCGATGCCACCCAGCACGCAAACAGGCCATGGCAGCACGTTCTCCCTGCAGAAGCGTAAAGAATGATCAGCCTGTTCAAGTACCGAAGGGAACCCTTTTTAGATAGGAGGGTGTCACTGAAAACACCAGCAGCATTTGAGGTTTCGAGCTTAATTCATGTTATGTTGAGTCGGCTTAGGTTGATATGGTAATTGACCTTACATTAGTTATCCAGGCGCCAAATGCAAAGGAGGCTAGGCGACTGGGGAGATTTTGACGGCAGCCTGCAAGACTTGTGTAATGCAAGTATATCGCTCACGATGCCAGCATACTCTTGATGGCAATATTTCACTGCAGCCTTTTATTCGTGTGTTCCGATGTCAGTTTTACATGTTCACAGTTTGCATGCCGTCCTACTCTATTTACTTCTGCAATGGTTTTACTCTGGATTTTCGTTCTTAGCAGTAAGTCTCTGGATTTTCGTTGAGAATCCGTGGCAAGATTTCTCTACGGATTTGGATTCTACCAATGATTGGCCATTTGGAAAGGAAAACGCTTGGTTTCTAATGCTGGAGAGTAACTTAGACTAGTAACATATATATGTTGGGTCCGTCTATGTCACATCTAGATGTGAGATAAGTTTTTTTCCTGTTTGTTTGTCCTGTTTGTTTGATTTTAATTTGTGAAAGCTCAAAACTAAAAACTACCTCGTCCTGCGTCTGCCTTGGTGACCGGCGTATATGCAAATCTGGTCACTAGCTCCCCTCATAAAAAGAAAATCTGCTTGCTAGCTACCCATACAAGGAACCTGATCGCTAGCTTTTTCTGGAAAACAAAATGATCGCTAGTGCTAAATCGACTTGTTAGCTCTTGCCTCTGATCATTATACATTTACAAGGACATCTCCCATAGCTAGCTTCGAGGCTACCAACGATTTATTTTATTTTTTGCCTATTGGTTTTTGTGTTTTACACTATTATATTTATATAATTAATTTTCAGTAAAGAACAAAATTTCATCAACACATATTTCAAAAACATGTTCATGAATTTACAAAAGTTTTTTCAAACTATAAAAAATGTTGACGAATACCAAAAATGTTCTAATATACGGTGAACAATGCTTTAATATATGATGATCATTTTCTGAATACACACTATTTTTTTCCCAATCCACACTGAACATTGTTTTTGGTATACATGAACTTTTTTATATACGATGAACTAAAAGCGAACTTTTTTTATATACATTGAACTAAAAGTGAACAGGAAAAAACAAATAAAATAGATAAATAAGAAGAGAACAAAAAAAATAAACACATTCGGATTTGCTTTTAAACTTTTTATCAGCATGAACAATTTTAGAAAAATGAACTAATTTACAAATTTTGAAACATGTATTGAAACCTGTGAATTTATGAACAAACAAAAATTACCAGAATATGAAAAAATGAGATCAACTTCTGAAAAGTAAAAAATAAAAAAGGAGATGTAAAACAATGAAGAAAAATGATAAATAAAAAAGCAGAAAAAGATGAAGAAAATGAAGCAAAACAAAAAAGGTGTCCTAGCTGCTTGGGTCGGCTCATCTTCAGTTTGTTCGCCGACTAGGGTGGACTTGAAAGTAGGAAAAAAATGTTGGACCCCCAATGGCAAGTCGAGGGTGGACTCTCAATTGAGAATAAAAAAGGTCGGACCCCAGTTGCGAGTCGAGTTTGGACTTGCAACTGGCGACGAAAATGGTTGGACCCTAATTGCGAGTCAAGGGTGACTTGTAGCTGGGACTAGAAAAGGTAGAGCTCTAGTTGCGAGTCGTCAGTGGACTTGCAACTGGGAAAAAGGTCGGCCCCAGTTGCAAATCGAGGGAGGACTAGCAATTGAGACTAAAAAATGTCGGACACTAGTTGCGAGTCGAGGGTGAACTTGCAACTCGGACAAAAAAGGTTGAGCTCTAGTTGCGAGTCGAGAGTGGACTTGCATCCCGGACAAAAAATGTTGGGCCCCAGTTGCGAGTCGATGGCGAACTTGCAACTTAGACAAAAAAGGTTGGACCCTAGTTGCGAGTCGAGGGTGGACTTGCAACTCGGACAAAAAAGGTTGGGCCCCAGTTGCGAGTCGAGGATGAACTCGCAACTCGGACAAAAAAGGCTATGCCCTAGTTACGAGTCGAGGGTGGACTTGCAACTCAGACAAAAAATGTTGGGCCCCAGTTGCGAGTCTAGGGTGGACTTGCAACTTGGAAAAAATTCTAGCCCCATTTGCGTCGAGAGTGGACTTACAATTAGGACAAAAATGATTTGGCCACAGTTGAACTTTCAACTGGAAAGAAAAGGCAGGACCCCAATTGTGGGTCGAGGGTGGACATGCAATTAGGACAAAAAACATTAAGACCCAATTGCGAGTTAAGAGTGCAATTGCAACCAAGAAAAAAAAGGCCATGCCTAGCTGCGACTCAAGTGTGAATTGCAATTGGGACAAAAAAGGGCCAGGTCTGAGTTACAAGTCGAGGGTTATTGCAACTGGGACAAAAAGGTTCGTTCCCTAACTGTGAGTCGAGGGTGGACTTGCAAATAGAAAAAAAGTCGGGCCCGAGTTGCGAGTTGATGATGAACTTGCAACTAAGACAAAAAAAGTTCGGGTCCCAGAGTCGAGAGCGGACTTGCAATTGGGAGGAAAAAACATTGGGCCCGAGTTGCGAGTCGAGGATGGACTTGCAACCGGGACAAAAAAAGACCGGATCCCAGTTGCGAGTCAAGGGTGAACTTGCAACTAGGACAAAAAAATGTCAGGCCCCAGTTGCAAGTCAAGGGCGGACTTGCAAATGGGACAAAAAAAGAACGGATTCCATTTGCGAGTCGAGGATGAACTTGCAACTAGGACAAAAAAAGGCCAAACCCCAATTATGAGTTGAGGGCCAATAAAAACGGAGTCGAACATGCCTAAGCCAACAACAGGATATACAATAAACAAACAACAATAAGGGAGTCAGAAGGTAGAGCTTGCAGGAAAATGGCGAAAAAATAAATCAAATGATGAATTAAAAAATACTTATAAAATTTTAAAAATCATGGATATAAAAGACTAAAAGGAGAAAAAACAAAAGTTTAAAAAGATGGGACCTCTATTGCATGTCAGTGTGTGGTTGGACTTGCACCTAGAACAATAAATGGATTGGGCCTTATTTAAGGGACAATTAGACAAAACATAACAAGAAGACACAGGAATACATCATCCAACGCCGGGAGATCAACAAGATGCAACGGTGACACTAACTAGTTTCATGATAAGGGTGCACTTGCAACATAATCTAAAAATATGTCGGGCCAAGTTGCATCTCGGTGGTTTACTTGCAATTGCGACAATAAAAATAAACGAGACAAGCTCCAGTTTGCATGTCGGTGGTCGACTTGCAACTAGAATAAAAAATAAAAAGGTAAACCCAGTTTGAAGTATACTTGCAGAAAAGACCAAAACAGTTTGGACCCAGATGCATGTTGGTGATCGACATAAGGACATAAGGTTCTTACATATTAGGGTTAGACATGAGAACAAAAATAAAAACAAGAAATTGGCCATTGCCCGTCATTATACTGTTTAGAAACTTGGCCGGGTCACCTCTACTCCTTAGACAAAGAGCAATGGGATAGAGAGAGCGAAGAAACAGAGCCGACGAGCCAACGGTCAGCTCGTCTCTTCAACTTATACAAACAACACTTATCTTCAACTACAACACAGGAAAAAAAGACTATGAAAAACGGCCCAAAAAATAAATACGCACGGTGTAATGGCTGTAAAAATGAATGACAGACGAGCGACACCAGACGCGCAGGATAAAACAACCCCGATCAAAGAATTGCACAAAATTTATAGAGACAAAACAAATGGACTGAAACTTAGATGAGACATCACACTCATCTATATGAGTTTTAACAATTTCGATACATGATTTACTATTCCGTGGACGCGTTGCATAGATGAATACAAATCAAAACAATGAAAAAAATGCATGAACAATCATACGGTATATACACGCACAAAGGAGATGCTTGTACACGTCATCTGATATATACACATATCATAGTATCGCAAGGGGGAGAAAAATAAAAAATGAAAAAAAAGACAAAAAAAATACCTCACAAACTGCCACAGCTGCAGTGTATCAAGACAATACAACAATAGACAAAAAAAGGATAGGCAGCCCACGCTAGCACACATGGGCTAGCGCACGCTGGCATGCTGCATGCACGTCCCATGCGGGCTGCGCAAGCGCACGCTACGGATCGCCAGATCGTACAATCAAAGGCGAGCAAATCGTCAAATCATTAGTGCATGAATTTTAAAGACAAAAGAAATCCAACAATGAAGGACTTAGATGTAAGATAGTTATTTCACATCTAGATGTGAAATAGCAAATCCGATATATGTTACTAGTCTATGCGATAAATCACGAGTGGACATGCGGCTACGCAAGAAGGAAATCAGCTCCGTCCACTCCCACGTGATTCGTGCACTTATTATACTGCCAGCTTGTATAATGATATCCCTGGCACATGCAAGCATCGTATAGTCTTTGTATTAAATCAGAGAGGCAGCTTTAAGTCCCACACGTCAGTTGCATGGAACGGCCTGACATGCAATTAATCAGTCATCCATTACAACGACTAGCTGCAGCATACTCCTCTGCTTACATGCACCACGCTCCTCCCTCTTTAAATCACCCAGGCCTTCTTCTTCCTCTACCCAATTTGCTTCTACTATTTGCTCTTTCTCTCTCACACACACACTTTCTAGCATCGAATCGACCCCTTTCACAACCATGTGTTCATCCATGTCCCAGGTTATCTCTCCACCACCTTCATCTCACGCCATTTCCCAATCAAATTGCATCTCTTCCTCTCATACGCTGCCTCGAGTGCCACCCTATCTACGTGCTCTGGTTCATTCTAGAAGCGGGAGAACAACTACATACAGTTCTGCAGCGCCAGATGAGGTCAACTCATATCGCACTCAACAGTCTACTACCATGTCCCACTTCTCGAAGATAATCAAGCTTTGCTGAAGAAGATAACCAGCCATGCATCAGCCATT